AGCATATATTTACAGATTTCCTTTACACTACAGCACTAAAGATTTTTAATTGATAACTTACCTATAGTAAGATACATAAACCTTAAGCATAGAGCTTGATGAATCTTCATAAATGTACAGACCTGGAATATTTCCAGCTCCCAGCAGGCTCCCTCTTACCTTTGACTTCTTTCACTCAACATGAACTTGTGAGATTCATTTATGTTGTTGTGTGAAGCCGTAATCCATGGTTTTGCCTTGCTGTGCGGTATACAATACAATAACAATTTATCCAGCCATTCTACTGTGGATGGACTTTGTGCTTCCAGTTTAGAGCTCTTTCACGATGACTCGGCGGATTTACTTGGCTGACCCTAGGACTTGCTGAGGTCTATACAACTTACGGCCCCAGTACATTGCTTCAGCTGTGTCTCCTCTTGCAACAGACCTCCCGTCCTGGGTTCCTTCGTCTCTCTGCTGTTTAGAACAAGGTTGGAGGTTCTAGTAGGAACCTGATATTTACTTATATTTTATCATAAAAATAAGTCAAATATATGCTCTGTGCTTAAAACAGGAAAGTGCTGATTCTCTCTCTTTTTTTCTTTATGTCTAAAAGTGCTTGAGCATTGTAATACTCTTTAGAATCAAAGCCAGCTTTCTCTAGATCATGCAGCTGTTCTGGGAGTTTAGTAGTTAACTGTTATCAAAATTGGATACCTCCTGTAGGGGCTGAATTTATCCCCTGACATTCATATGTTGAAGTGCTAACCCCCAGTACCTCAGACTGTGACTCTGTTTGGAGATAGGGCCTTTAGAGAGGTGATTTAAGTTAAAATGAGGACTTTAGAGTGGGCCCCAATCCAATCTGATTGGTATCCTTATTAAGAAGAGAAAATTTGGGGACACCTGGGTGGTTCAGTCGGTTAAGCGTCTGCCTTCGGCTCAGGTCATGATCCCAGGGTCCTGGGATCGAGCCCCACATTGGGCTCCCTGCTTGGCGGGGGGTCTGCTTCTCCCTCTGCCTCTGCCACTTTCCCTGCTTATTTGTTCTCTCTGACAAATAAAATCTTAAAAAAAAAAAAAGAGAAAATTTGCGTACACGGGAAAGACACGAGGCACACATGCCAGGAGGAAAGACCATGTGAAGAGACAGCAGAGGGCAGCCATCTGCAAGCCGAGGAGAGAGGCCTCAGAGGAAGCCTATCCTCTTGGCACCTTGATCCCGGCCTTCCAGCCTCCAGAACGGTGAGAAAGTAAATTCACGTTGCTTAAGCCTCCCAGGCGGTGGCATTTCGTGATAGTGGTGCCGGCAAACTAACACGCCTCCTCGAGTGAGTTTCCGGATGCCAAAAGGTAACATTTATAAAATAAGTCAGCTCTCTGAAAGAGAACAGGAAATTTTCCATTGTTAATCAGGAGCTTAGCAAACCCCAGCGTTTTAATGTGCCACAAACCAATCATTCAGTAGCGAACCCCATGCAGCCTGCGTGTTCTTCCTCTCCTGGTTTGGCTGCCTCCTGAATAATTTGAGATTTAGTTGCAGAAATCATACTCCTTTACCTTCAAATACTTCATGTTTTTATGTAAGAATGTTCTCTTACATAATTGTCAAATTCAGAAAATTTAACACTGACAAAGGCTATTACCTAACACATGGTCCACATTAAAATTGTGCCAGTTGTCCCAATAATTTCTTTTCTGGCAATCTCTCCTCTCCTTCCCACTTCTAGGACCACATGTTTAATTAAAGATAATTAAATAATTAAAGTTTAATTAAAGATAATTAAATAATTATCTTGTCTCTTTAATCTTGTTTGTTTGTTTATTTATTTTAGGTAAGTAACCTCTACACCCAACATGGGGCTCGAACTCACTACCTTGAGATCCAGTGTCACATGCTCTGCCAACTGAGCCAGCCAGGTGCCCCTCATATCTCTTTAATCTCCTTTAAACTTTGTCTACCATGACATCTACATTTTTAAAATTACACAGCAGGTGTTTTGTAAATGTTCCTCAGTCTGGGTTTGTCTGATGATTAGGTTCAGGTTATGCCTCTTTAGCATAATTGGAACTTTAGACTTGCATAGCTGTTCACACCACAAAGCAAAGATGCATGCAACAGTTATCACACCCTTCCACTGCTTCAAAAGCAGCAAATACCACCTATATTCTAAGAGGAACATATATATATTTTTTAAAGATTTTATTTATTTATTTGACAGAGAGAGCAAGCAAGCACGAGCAAGGGGAGCAGCAGAGGGGGTGGGGAAGCAGGCTCCCCGCTGA